TTTTCGCGCTACGCTGCTGTTCTTTTTACAAATCTGTTGTAAACTTGTGAACGAAATAAAGATAAATAATAAATAAATCTTTATCCATTTTGAATTGTCTGTAAAAGATTTTACCTTCGTAGTTCGTACATTAGTAGTTTAAAATTTAAATTTTTGATGATTGTCATTTTTTTAGGCATACAAAATCCGCAACATGTTGATCCAGTAACATGTTGGGAATATACGATGCGGCGCGGTCGATACTTCTTTATTATTTTATATAAGTAAGTATAGTCAGGGGGCACGGCAGTGCCCCCGCCAAGTCGAGCGTGAAGCAAACACTGCCGTACCATCCTTTACTGGAACCATTTCGCCGCATTTTCAGGCCCCTATTTGATAACCTCTGGATAAGACCAGAACGCTGTAATTTTCGTCATCCAGTAAGCTATAATAACATACCTAAAATCCAAAATTTCAAGTCTGTAGGTCATTTAGTTCCGAAGTTAAGCGAAAGCAAAGTTTCGCATTTACGACACTCACTCACTCATGATCATCAGAATAGAACTAGTACTTGCCATAAACTCAGAGAGCTGAAATTTGGTAGAGAGTTAGGGTTTAATGGCCACATAAAGGGAAAACTATAAAAACTAGGATAATCGAAGATCTGGAGTACCTGGTGACCCTGATTAGAAAACACAAGAGACCAACCAAACTATTAGAAGAGATCGACATACCGCCTATACAAAAAATATTGAACTTGGTGGGCCGCTTCATTTGATGTCAAAAATCGAAGGTCTGAAGTATCTGATGAAGAACCCTCAGCTGGTCTCAGCTGTATTAGAGATATGGTAATGCCCCCTTCTACTATTGGTACACAAAAAATCGACTGCCATTGCAAAAAACCAGCGTAGTGGTACACATCTTTTAATTTAATCTAGCCTATAGTGGCCCACTGCTGGGTGAATGTCTTCCCTTCTACTTTTAATGCGCAATGAAATAAAATTAAAGGAAAACTCTTGATAACACTAGACTGACTATTATACGTATACTTACGAGTTTACAAGAAAAAATAGTCGAACGATTAACTTTATTCTACTCGAACATTACACAAATTAAATAAACAAATTACACTAAAATATTAACTCAAAATTTGGTCAAAATATAGTGCATTGGACTAAGAGTGGCGGTGATACCAAGGTCTTAGTCTAAAAAATACCCTCATGGACGTTGGCACCTCCATATTCTCTTGTGGTCAAGCCTACGTGGCGCTTACACGAGTAACCAATCTTGATGGGGTGCACCACATAAATGTTGACTTCAAGAGTATAAAAGCTCAAGCATCAGCTATCACCGAATACAAGCGGCTTAGACGTAAATACCGCGCCGATCTTTCAGAAATTAAACCGTCTAAAAGAATAAATAAAGAACGCGAATGGACAATACGAAAAACTGTTGCTAATGTTCAAGAATCAGAACCAAAAAAAAAAAGAAAAGAAAGATTTGTAATAATAAAAAGACTACTCCTAAAAAGAAAAAAAATGTGTCAAATAAGAAAATCTAATAAAATAAATCAAAATGCCCACGTTTCTACAAAAAGAAGTGAAATCCCAAAACATTCTGTAAAAAAATAGCCAAGTCTCGCTGGAGCTGCTTGTTTATCTCTAAAAAGTAATTAAATCTAGACAAAGTCGTGCCAAGTCTAAGGTTTCTTACTGCGATTTCTTTATTATTATAGTTAATGTTGTGTGACTTGGCCGTTGGAGGGTACACAAGGGTACAAAACCAGGTGCTACATGACACCATTACACCGATACATTCATAAATGCAACATTACATGTAAACGCAACTTTATCAAGCCTACAATTGACTGGTTATTCAATCAACGTTTTCCAAGTGGCAATTTTCCATCGTCAATGGGTAGCGGTTCTGGCGACAGATTGGTGCAATGTGCATTATAGCACCTGGTTTTGTACCCTTGTGTACCCTTCAACGGCCAAGTTGCCACTCAACGCACGTGGTGTGCGGATATTTATGTTGCCCGGAAACTTAAAGTAGCATATGCTATGGAAGCGAATATTCTGAGATGAAGTTGTGGTGTAATTAACATAAAGTTTATTAAAAAGAGAAGACGTTTTAAAAAAGAATACTGGGTCTATCCCTTTATATCATATCGAGCGCGCAACGCAAACAAGTTTCTTTTTATACGCGGTACTTTTCATCCCTAGTATGCCTATTTCTATCTATTTCGGCGGAAAAAAATGTCCGCGTACAAAAGTCCCTCGTCTGCACAATCCATAATCGTATAATGTACCTTATAGTACTCAGTATGTCGGAGTGACAAGTTTTTTCAACCCGTCATCGACTCGACTACTTAATACAAAAAATCTATGTCACATTACGAGACCGTGAAATGTATTTAACTTGGTAACGGGTAACTTGTATTGCTTTTGTATTTATCTTCAACCTACATAGTGGTGTCAATTCTGGCGTGTATCTCTAAACTTAAAACTAAATTAAAGGTCAGTCTCACCTTTTCATTCTGTATAGAGAAGGACAAGGATGCACTGTTGTCAAATTTAAGTTTAGGTTTAGAGAATCATTCCAGAATCGACATCAGTATGTTGTGTAGTAGATAGTTAAACCGCGTTCATTAAGATGAGATGCATCACTCGGATTGCTAATTGATGGTTAGCTAACGTAATAATAATGACCAAAATTTAGAGAATATTTAGAGACTTGCCTTGCACGGGTGAAATTTAGCAACTAAGCTGTAGTCTATTTTTGTGTATTTAAATTAAATTATTCATTGCATAATTATTCTATACAACATTTTAAGAAAGATTGCATTTTTTCACTTGTTGTAATTATCGCAAATTCTACAAAAAGCATTGTTGTACTTTAATGTTATATAATAGCACAGCGTCATTTAAATTTCATAGACCAATCCGCGCCAAGGCCCGCGTGGTGGACCTTACCACGTAGAGAAGGCCTGTGCCTCAGCAGTCGGGATTTCAATAGGTCGATGATGATGATGAACATTGAAACTTCAAATCAAATACTTATAAAATCGGGATAGCTGTTCAATGAAGTTTAATATCTTATAATAAAAAATATAATGTGAATATTAAAAAGATATTACATTACAACCTATCACATATGGAATTTGGTGCCTACTTACCACTTAAAACGACAATTATTTATATCTTTATGGACGTTACGAGTACTGGGTGTTGAATAGTGATCATAAAATAAACGCTTGTCTATTCACATGATCCCTAAATATATGGTTTATTTAACCCATCTAACTCATTATCTCAGGAACTGGATTTAATAAGTATGTTATAAAATCTATACATATAATAAAATGGTAGGAAAGTCTAAACTATACATTGAATATTTTTTTAAAATAATACTTGGGGTGTGATCTACAATCGACACCGAAGCCAAAAATATAGTTTTTATATTTTTTGTCTGTTTGTTTGTATGTATGTCCGGATTAAACTCAAAAAGTACTGCATGGATTCACTTCAAATTTGGCATGAATATTATTAAGAAGTCGGGTCAACATTTAGGCTACATATTATCCTACCTACGGGGAACGAGCAGTGAACAGGGACAAAAACAAAGGGGTCCACGCGTACGAAGTCGCGGGCGGCCGCTAGTGTTGAATATAAATTTCAATACTGTTACGATTATAAAAGACAAAAACAGCTTACCGCCTTTCAATATTGCTAGCTTCTTACTTAATTAGTGATAGCCTACAACTTAATAAGGAATTTCGATCCAGTAAATTTAATAATATACAATCATCATACATAATTAATTTAATATCATAAAAATAAAGTCAAACTCTAAATATAGCGGATAATAAGAGAACTAGTAAGTAATATGTGCCAATAACAGAATTTCATATAGATTATCAATATTAGCAACTATGCTTGTTTCTGAAAATTTATATTCAAATATTGTATTTTATTAACAGATTTAGCTACACAAAAAAGCTTCGTTATCGTATAGATAAATAGTCGCAGAACAATAACTAAAGCTATTAATCTGAGTAAATAGTTGTCAATATCTAGGTACTTTAATAAGTTCTTATAGGCGCCAGCAGTAACATCTATTGAAACATCGATGAAAGAGGGTCAAGATTATGTCATTTGCATCCGATGATCTCACACAAACTATCGTGATCGTGACGATTGTGTGTAATGTGTAATTTTGGTGTATGACATATCCCTTCGTGTAATTCAGCTCTAGTCTTAGAGTATAATGTGTATTTTTGGTGTATGACATATCCCTTCGTGTAATTCAGCTCTAGTCTTAGAAAACGCAAACCACAATCTAATTTCAGTTTAAACGTGCTTTATAGGTCACAATTTCAGTTTAAACGTGCTTTATAGGTCACAATTTCTCTTTATGCCCGTCCTACATTAGACACCACGGTTTCATAGAATGATTTCCTGAAAAGAATTATTATGCTTTGTGACTTGATATTTAAATGAGGTCAGACTATCATTTTAACAAGCTCTTTGGAAGGGGAGTTTTCAATGTTATTAATGACTTATGTCTAAAGTTGAGCGAAATGTTTGTCTTCTGTCAAGAAATCCAAGAAATGATTGATAATGTAAGTAAAAGCTCCAAAAAGCTAATCTAAATGACAATTTCCGAAAATTAAATCATCAATTTATTTGAGCTAAAAAAAATATTTGTATTTATTTTCCGAAATCGTCATGAATGAAACATAAATGAAAATTATCAAATTTGAATTAAAGAAAAGAAATGAAGAGATATCAAATTTAAATTCACATGCTGTATACACAGTGTCGAATGTTGTATATCATTCATAGTACTGGAGGACACAATCGGAACCTAATCTAGTACGTTTGACATTTACGGCGCACGAGGAAATCACTCTATCCCGGCAGCACTACCAGAAGTCGCAGGCTGCGCTGTGCGAAACGCAGTCCTCGCCCGCCGACTGTTAAGTTGCATTCTAGTTGCACTATAGTGAGGTCACCAACCTTTTGACACTGAAACTCTGACACGGTGGAAGTGCTATCGTCGGTCGATTCGGAAAACGTGACGTCGCGAGCGCGGCGCGTGGCGGCGAGCGCCAGGGCGCAAGCGTCGCGGTGCTGCGTCGCGCGTGGCCGGACGCACTCGCGGGCCGAGACTGACGGTTCGCGCGTTTTCCCTCCCGCGCTTTCCCGGCGTGCGCATCAAGCCTGCTTTATTCTGCAAATAGCGGCGAGGGTTGGGCCGCTGCTATTCAACTGAGCGCCTTTCAGCCGACTGTTGCTCGCTCCGCACTCGAGCGGCGATGAGTGAGACTTTGCGGGCTCAAAAAAAACCGTTTGTGAGCGTTACACAATCGCGAGCCTATGTGCAGCGAATATTGCATCGGCCGACTGTTTGCGTAGATGACGTTATAGTTAGTAGCATATTTTTCACAACGCTAACTAATACAAAGCACTACACTGCGTGCTTATGCTGGGCAGTTTTGCGTTACGGAGGAACAATGATGCGTTATTAATATTCTATAACACATTGTTTCTTCAGACATAAGTATTTAATTAAAGCTCCATATCGTCTTCTGTCTATTAATTTACTCAACATTCGGGTATTGACATTAGCGAAAAATTCTACAACTTATACAGTTAATAGGACTAATGGATAAATGTGGCATTGATTAACGGAAAAAATCGTTACCTTTGATTTTTCGAAAATCCATCGGGTAACGGGCGTCTCGAAAAGTTGATTAAACTAAAAATGCAGTCTGAATGTGCTTATACCTTAAAAGTTTTTAGAACACTACCCAAAAGTATTATAGATAGCTCTTCCAAAAAAATATAACGCAAGCACATACATACATACCTAATAAACTTTATACGTCATTCTCCATATTCCATCAATTTTCCATCTTATGAATAAAACTCGATTCTACATCTCCAGTGAGTAAAAACAACTCATAATACCAGCACCTACAACCTACAAACAGTCGTAAAGCAATATAATATAAACAAGTTCATCGCTAGAGAAACACACACCCCATACAAATATAAACAAAAAACTGATCGAACGCTCGCTGACGGCGCTTTCACGTCAAACATGCATTTCGAGAAAGGGCGAACGAGCGTTCGTAATGGACGAGGTCAACGGGAGCATTCGCAAACAATCATTAGCTGCCAATGAAAAGATTAGGAAGTTTTCTTTTACATATTTGAACAAGCGCCAAATTTTTACATTAAGGGTGAGTTGCACCAACTAACTTTAATTTGGGCGTGTTATTATCGGTCGATAATATAGGATGCGTTATTGCTTCAGCCCATTAGTACCGATTAACTCATACCATCCTACCCTTGAGATAACTTTGAAATTGCCGCGGAGATCGATGCCTCCATCCCCATCAGTCCCTCAGGCTCACCAACAACGGCAGGGTACTCTCCCGTATTGGAACTGGCCTAAGGCTGACTACCAAATGTTGTACGCAGCTCTAGCTGAGATTGATTGTTGTATTAGAAATTCGACATGTTGATGGAGCTGTCGAGATATTATTTTATTTGAAAATTTACGAGTGCTTTAATCGTTTTGTAGCTGTGAAAAGGCGTGACCAATGTTATTCGCGATACATGTACCCAAAATGGTATTCTGTTGAATTTATACGTAATTTGAAATATAAAAATTATCACCATAAAAAGTTTAAGTCTGAGGGGAAGGAGTACAACGAGGAACTAGATAGACGTGACTTTACTGACTTTACATATGACGGAAAAGAAGTGTCTGGGAAAGCTGCGGCTGACGCTTTTGCGACAATACTTCAGCTCAGTGTTCCAGTCAGATCTCCCCTGCCGGGATCCAATTGATGCCGCTACAGCTGCCTATTCACAGATCGATTCCAGACATATATCCATTTTAAATGTGAGCAGTGCTGACATCAAAACTGCTGTCCAAAACTGTTCAAAACTGTGTGTGCCAGTTTTCGTGGCAAAGGATTGCGTGTCAGTTTTTCAGACGCCTTTTCTATACATTTTTAATCTTAGTCTTAGTTCTTCGGAATACCCATTTGCCTGGAAAGTGTCACGTATAACGCCAGTGCCGAAGGGTGATGCTAAAAGTGATGTCAGACAATACAGACCTATCGCGATTATGTCAGTATTTACCAAAATTTCCTAGTCAATTCTTAACGCAAGAAGACATTACCCAACAAAGTCGAAAGTTTACTAAACTCCCAGCGTGGAATTCGTAGAACTCGATCGACAACTACCGATGTTATTGGTCTGACGGATTATGCAACGGCAGAGCTTGATGCTGGGTACCAGGTCGACGTTGCATATTTTGACTTTAGAAAAGCTTTCGACCTAGTTGACAACGACATACTGTTGCGAAAATTGGCGTTATTCGGTTTTACACCGAAACTCCTCAATTTTATGCTAACTATCTTAAAAATAGACGCTAGTTTGTTAAAGTGCAGGGCTGGAAATCGGCCGAGTACTATACGAGATCAGTCAAGGAACTACCTCAGGGCCGACTCTATTTTTGATACTACTCGAGCTGCTCAGTGTCTTCTCTTTGCCGATGATCTCAAACTTTTTCTAAGAGTACGAGATAGCACTAACATAGCTGCACTTCAGGCAGATATTGATGTTGTATTCGAGTGGAGCCAGGCAAACCTTGGCCTTTTAATAACTGCAAGTGCAAAGTTATCACTCACACTCGGAAACGTTGTAAAATATTAGCAACTATAAACTATCAGATACCATCATAGATAGTCACTGATATTCGTGATATGGGAGTGATTTTGGACAGTAAGCTTGACTTTCATAAACATGTGACGGAAACGTGTAAGCAGGCGAACAAAATTTTGGTTTTCATCATGCAAACATCCTCTGTATATGACGACATCGCTGAGACTAAAATGTTGTACAACGCCTACGTTCGCAGCAAACTAAAATGTGCAGCTTTAGTCTGGGACCTTCACGAGGAGAAATATGCTGTCATGGTTGAGCGGGTTCAGCTAAAATTTGGGCGTTGGCTTTATTAACAGCTTTATGGGTATCCTTACTTATATCCCTCTCTTTTTGTAGGAGGTATGGTGGAGTTAAATACACTTTCTTACAGACGAAAGATGTTGGTACTTACTCATTTAATTCTTGCCATCCACCATAAGACACCATGCACTCTGAAGTAGTTTCTAAGGTGGATCTGCTGATACCCACACGAATACCCCAAACTGGGTCAGGGACGGAGGCCACGCGCCGCCGTCCGCAGCTTCTACGAAGCTTCTCACGCGCACTATACATGCCGCAAATGCGCCTACCGTTCGCACGCTAAATTTGATTGGGAGCACACTCGCTCAATGTCCACATATTGACTTATTTGCTGATCAAATTGACTATATATGTAATGAAGCTAGAAAACATTTAGTACCTATTAGAATTGAATTATTTTGGTGTGTGAAATTTATTGTTAATCTATTTAACTGTGTAATTGACTTATTGTAATTTATTGACATACCCATTGTTTTTTTTTTGTATTTTGACGCATTTTATGACTTTAATGTTAATGTAAGTATCTTATTAGTAATAATCTGAATCCCATTTTCTTACTTGTAGCAAAACTTAATTGTATTGCATTGCTAGTATGTTGGGAGGGCACTTCTATAAACTAGCATGTGTATGTAACAATAAATAAATTATAGACCGATAATAACGCGCCTGACTGTTCAGTTGAAGTACCGGTTAGGTAAAAATGGGTTGCACCATTTGACGGTAGTGAAACTGTGGTTGTAAAAAAATTATTTGACAGTGTCAATTAACTGTCCAAGCGAGGTCAGTTAAAGCTTTAGAAAAAAATAACTAGCTCTGTGGTTCTTACTATAATATCTAATATATAAAATTCTCGTGTCGCGGTGTTTGTGCTTAAACTCCTCCGAAACGGCTTTCCCGATTCTCATGAAATTTTGTGTGCATATTGGGTAGGTCTGAGAATCGGACAACATCTATTTTTCATCCCCCTAAATGTTAAGGGTAATCCACCCCTAATTTTTATTTTTTCAATTTTAGATTTATTTTTTTATTGTATCATAAAAACCCTAAATTTTTAACTTTCTACCACCAACCCTTACTTTTTTATGGCGGTACGAAGTTCGCTGGGTCAGCTAGTCTAATATATAAAATTCTTGTGTCACGATGTAATTTTCGTGCAATTTTATATACATATTCAGTAGGTCTGAGATTTGGGCAACATCTATTTTTCATCTTCTTTAATATTAAGTGTGGTCCACCTTAATTTTTTTTGACATAATTTTTTGTTTTTGTTTTTTTATGATACATCATACAAAAATGCATACAATCTAAATTTTCACCGTTCTACCACCAACCCCTATTTTTTATGGCGGTACAAAGTTCCCTGGGACAGCTGGTATTCTCTAGAAGTAGGTATATAATATATTCTACTGGTGAATAGGGTTTAAATTTTGCGCGGGATTGGGTTCAGGCCGGCAAGGTATGGAGGATATGGCTGGAGCGGCACACATTCTTAAGCATCATTTATCTTCGCGATTGTACTCTACTTACACTTAACATCCTCACCTGATGTTAAATGTAAGAGAGTATAGGGCAATTTGTTGTGCCTTGTATAATTAAAAACGTTTTGACCGTTCTGACTTTTGATTTTGAGTTTTCATGCAGATGCATATGGATTCTGTAAGATACAATCTCATTTAAGAATCTCGTTAAAGAATAGATATACTATCGCTAATGGACGGAGCTAATAGTACGTATGCTTTGAAATAAACACTGCACACACAGTCAACACTAACACACCCATCCCATAATACGATTCCTAGTCGTAGCACGCCCCCAATACGTTAATGCGCTTACTTGCACCCAGGTACTAGTTATACATAGCTTATCTGTCGCTTATAAGCCTCGTTAGTGTAATATTTAGGGTAGTATATTAGGAAACCTGTAGAAGACATCATACCTAACATGTGCCGGCTACTTCGACTGTATAGATTTTTTGAGTGCCCTTAAAAATATTTTTTTACTGCTTTCATGGCCCAACTAATAATGGTATAGGTAGCGGTAAATTCTTTGATTCCGTCGGCCTAGGCACGTCTTAGAGTACCCCGACAACGAAATCACCAACGCCAACGCGCCTCTGACTCCTCCCACACAGAACACAAACACCAACACTACACAGCTAGCATACTTGCATACTAGCTTAGCATTAGGCAGACACCGCACCCGTTGGATAAGAGTGCGAAGATCCGGTCTACACACGACACGCTATACCAGGAACAGCTACGTATCTGGGCGTTTTTCCCCGCCCCCCACAACAACGGCTAACTAGAGCCGAGGTTCGAGTCTCAGAGACGCCCTCTAGTTGAGCCGACCCCCTCAGTTTCGAGTGGTCTAGAGGCTCCAGACGGCGAGGGGGACTCCCCCCGTGGGAAGATCCGCCTGGAATACCTTTCTAGAGGTCAATTCTCGGCTTAAGGTCCTCTTAGAATCTCGCAGTCCCCAAACCCGATTCGAAAATAATAAAACCAAATCTTCACTACTACTACACTTTTATGGGAAACTAGCGGCCGCACACGACTTCGTACGCGTGGCGCTAGTTAGAAATAAAGGTTCACTGCTCGTTCCCCGTAGGTGATAGCGTGATAATATGTAGCCTATACGTTGACTCGACTTCTTAATAATATTCGTGCCAAATTTGAAGTAAATCCTTGCAGTACTTTTTCAGTTTATCCCGGACATACATACAGACAAATGACAAAATAACTAAAAACTATATTTTTGGCTTCGGTATCGATTATAGATCACACCCCACAGTTTTGAATTTCCTACCATTTTATTTTTATGTATAGATCCAATCCAAAATCCAATGAAACTTCATTCGTTGCGGACGTTGATCGCCACCAACCAATTTAAACCAAATAAAGATCCACTTATATTACGCTCGCCAGGTGGCATGTGTTGTTGTTATCGTTGATTTTGATAAAAGGTAAAATCGTCAAAGTGAAATTGTTAAAAAAGTTTGCAAAAAAACCTACATGAGTTCTTTTGAAACTTTCAACAACAGTTGTTATTTTAAAACAGAAGAATTGACGAATTGTAAAACAAACAACCTTCTTTTATTTAAATGCGTACTGTACTCCTAGCACGAACCAATATCGACTTCGAATCGTTTGCGAGTCCGAAATGTCATTGTCAAATGTGTACTGATTTTTAGTTCTCGTTACGTACTTTGTGGCGCTAGTATTCAAGTTACCATACAAAAATTAAATCAAATTTAGTGTCATTGTCAAATGTGTACTGATTTTTAGTTCTCGTCACGTACTTTGTGTCGCTGCTGTTCAAGTTTCCATACAAAATTTGACATTGACATTTCGCACTCGCAAACTATTCGAATTTGATAATGGTTCGTGCTAGGGGTACTGATCCAGTTAATCAAAATCTTACATGTAAAAGGACTCTACATTACAAGCGCATCCTTTTCGCTCCGATTATTTACATATTAACAAAACAACAACAAATTTTACAAGAAGTAGAAGTTTTATAGCATCAAAATTATGAGCAGTTTCGTGTAAAACTATTTATAAATTCAATTCAGATACAAATTCTTAAATCGCAAAATAAAGTGTTTTTTCATTATCGTTTAATCGAATCCACATTTAACAATCGGTTGTACCATTTGTATTTTTTTGCTTTTTTACAATGTGGCTGTTTCATTAACATTTATTTCTAGTTTTCATTTAGCGATGGTGAACTCAGACAAAATGTTTGTTGTATCACATACAGCTTAATTTGTTATAATTCAATTATACGCCTAATTATGACACCTTTACCATAAGTATTTTCAAGCGACTTCAAAAAGGATAAGGTTCTCAATTCGACTGATTTATTTTTGTTTGTTTGTTTGTTACGCGATTTTAACACTCGTGTTCTTGAACACACTTCGTTATTAACTTGTCCTAATGCCGCAATTACATTTGGTCGTTAGTTCGTATTCGGGTGCTCAAAAGACAGTACTCGAATTCGGGCACCCGAAGCAATATTTATATTGGAATACTGGACTCCGTTCATTTATTCTTAGTCTTTTACCAAAATTCCTTTGGAACTCGTTTAAATACCAAGTATAATTGCGCCATAAGAAAGGCTGTTGGAAAAAAGAATTTGGCTTATACATCTCCTTTAATACATAACGAGAGGAGCGATATAGCAATGCATGAGTATGTATACCTTTTTTCGTCCAAAACACTTTGATGATAGAATCATAGAATAATAAACATCTTAACATTAATGGAGATTGCTTAGCTTCCATACATGTTTGGCCTAAAGACCAATAATCATGAAAAATTGTTTCATAGATTTGAAATTATATATAAATTACTGTAGAAACGAATATTATTGACGGACACCCCTGAGAACTTCTATAAACCATATAACATATATACACTGAACATATTAAAATAAAAAATGGTTGCCTGTAAAGTCGGTTTTACGGGCGAAGATTTTACGTGACAACGTCTTTTTCTCGGTAGAATATTTATTGATATGAATATAATTAAATTGCACAATAGGAACAAGGAATTGAATGAAAATAAGAATTGCACAAATTTTAACTATAGAAATATATTTTGTTTACTAAAACATTGTACATGTAAACTTAAACTTAACACGAGAGACTCATCGTAACGTTACCGAGCGTTACACTTTTTCATAAGTGACTCCCAGCCGCAACCTAATTTAAGACGTTGTCACGTCAATAAAAAACAAAAAAGTTACATAGTAAACTAGGGAAATCAAGCCAAGTACCGAAATTACGGATTAGATTCAGGTATATAGAGCATGTAGATTAACAGATAGTTGCCTGTTTTTAAAGTTAATACATAAGAGTAACTTTTAAAATCAGGTGTCATTTCCGGTTATAATAAGGTAGGTATTCTGTGACAGAAACTGTGTTATGATTGTGAATGAGCCACAGATTAGAGAGCATTTTTAAACTCTCGTTAACCAAAGAAAGCTAAGAGATTTAGGTTCTATAGCCATATATTCAGTAGCTTCATTATTTTTGTTATGTTTTTAAGATAACCATAAGGTGTAATACACTAAAAATCTAAATTTTTAGTGTATCACACCTTATAATTTTATTTATTTATTAATTTATAGTCAGGGAACGTAGGCCCATAGATAGATACCTTAAAGTGTAACATATATACAGATTATAATGTGTTTATGGAGGTCTTTGGCGAAAAATGTATGGCAATAGACTTTATGATGTCGCCTACCATCTATAATAATTGTCTGAGCACATTTTCATCTAGTAAAAATGATAATATAGTGGTGGATATTAATTAATACTACAGTGTAATAAAAAAAATGATTTATTTTATCGATCTTTACAAAATAGATTTGTTTTTATGTTATATAAACAACTTCGATCAGTCTTTGGCTGAATGTTACTACACCCATAGCCATTAAAAATGATTCCTATGTCTTCCAAACCGGTAAAATTAAAAGTCCTTTTTAAAGTAAATATAGTAATATACAAAGGTCTCCGATGAATCTAATGACTGTAAATTAAATTATAAATTACGCCAAGAATTACCGTGTATGTCAATATTTTTTGTGCATTTAGGCCAATTTGAGCAATCTCCTTTCAAAGCTTTATCGTCGGTATGTTTTTTTCCAACTCAATTTCCAATCTAATTAGGAATCGCCATAACATGAATAACCGTTTCATTTATAAAATCGCTTTTAAAAAGAATACTCACACAAACGAATTGAACTTTTTTTTAATACACTTTCTCTTGGCTCTCTGCTACGCGTACTTATCAGACATCTCATCATGTGGGCTTTATTCCATTTTTATGTTTTCACTGGATATATTGCTCT